TAGGGTTTAGGGTTTAGGGTATAGAGTTTAGGGTTTAGGGCCTTGGGTATAGGGTTTAGGGTTTAGGGTATAGGGTTTAGGGTTTAGAGTTTAGGGTTTAGGGTATAGTTTAGGGTTTAGGGCTTGGTGCTTGCTACCCTCTGGCGGTTAGCAGGCTAAATCCCAGTGTTGAGGGCCTCCGGTGGTTAGCACGCTAAATTCTAGTGTTGAGGGTTAAGCATAAACCATCAAGGGTGCGATAAGGAATGAAAACAATAGATCCTCCTTGCGGTCTCAACGAGGAACTAGTCACCCATTCCCGTGCTACCAGTAATTCAGGAAGCTGTAGGGGGAGCCACTGACCCTGATGACCTTCCGGAGGTATTATTCGCCTTACATTGCCCATATATGCGTCGCAGTCGCTGCATATACGCCCAGTGTGACGGTCACCATGCGTTCACTTCCCGGCTAAAACCTCTTAGAAAAATAAAAGGTCTATAAACACTTCTCAAGAGTCCTCTAGTCCCCAAACCCCGAACCTCTAAACCTGTCAACGACGGCATAAAGCAAGTTTAGGGTCTTTTTTTTTAGACGTGGCAGCTGTGGCTTTAGCAAATACTACCTACCTTTCAGGGTTTACAGTTTTTGATTTGGCGTTTAGGGTTTAGGGCCAAGGGTTCCCTCACCTCCCCACCTCCTACCCGTGCCCCATACAGGTTCCCCATCACTTTTTTTTTCAGATGTATCTAGGGTTGCTTAAGGCTAATCAAAGGGGAAACCTAAGGAAAGTAGCCCCTGAACAACCCTAAACCCACAGCCGCCTACACCTGGCTTGCTAGCTTCCTTATCTTGGTTACTAGCCTCTTACTAGGGTTTAGGGTTTACGGTACTAAGTATACAAGACACAATATATGTGGGTCAGGCCTCAGCAACCCTGTGAATGGTCCAGGTACCACCCCCACTATTCATGTACTTTCCCCTGCAAAATCAATACTAGAATTTGCTAGTGCCCAAAAGCCCAAGTGCTCAAATACTGGGTGTTTGGACCCTCAGGTAAGGAGGGTCTATCCCGAGCACATGCTGCGTAGTTTCTCTATAACTCACCTTCTCGGCCCCTTTGTAGGGCTTGGGGTTTGGAGTTTAGGGTTTGTGGCCAAGGGACACCTACCAGATACCCATATTTACACAAAACTTACGGCATACTTGGACCTAGGGTTTGGGGGCTAGTGTGTTGGCACAACTTGGATGTTCATGGGACGTTTTACGCGGGGTTTCAAGCGCCAGAATGTGGGTTTTGGTTATATCCTTCACTTAACACTCTACCCTAAACCCTAAACCCTAAACCCTATCACCAGGGATGATCCCTCCAAAGCCCAAGGACCAAGGGGGCTGCGACGGGGTTCCCAAAGCCAACACCACTTACCGGATGGGCTGGAACTGCGAGTCGAGGCCCTACAGATCTTTTCGAGTCATGTGGATACTTCGCACAGCAGAGTCTACTTTTTCTTATTGGGTTTAGGGTTTAGGGCTTAGGCTTGGTTAGCACTTAGACTTACTAGCTGGGTTGCTCTGTTAAGGAACTGAAAATAACTTACCATAGCCAGAGCACAATATTTGCTGTGAGTTTTGCATAGTATGGTAACTTGATTCAAGTTCCATAACAGCAACCCAGTTTTGTCAGGATGTCCTCAAAAGCTTAGGATTGGCGAAGCTCCGTCCGACCTGACGTACTCCATGATGCAACTGTGTTGCGGTTCAGGGACTTGAGTTAAGTTACCATAGTATGGGCTTATAGTTCCTTGTTATAATAACTAGCCCTCAACCAGACAACTAGTAACTTAACAGTTGGGTCATTCCCCCTCCCAGTAACTGTTCTTAAAGGGGCCTTATTTAGGGGGTTCTTATAACTCCTATAACCCATTGTGGTAACAGTTACTGTAAGGGGGAATAACCCAACTTAACAGTTTTAAAGATACTTTACAGCAACCCAGGCAGTGGTATGTCGGCGACAACTGCACGGATCCTCATCGCAAGAACAACTTTCCAGTGGCAACGAACCATTGCCTCTGAGCTGGGTTTAGGGCTTAGGGGTTTTGTACATGCCTTCCAAGTACCCATCGTAGCTAATATACCTGTTTTTGGGAAAAGGGTTTTGTTATGGATATATGGGAGAGGTCTATGCGGGTCAAGGGTTTGCGGTGTAGAATTCAGGATGTGGACCTGAGGGATAAGTAGTCTTTACCCTAAGGCTCGTGGACCCTCAGAGTGAAATCCCAAACCGTAGTTCCCAAAGCCCAAACCTTTCCCCACCTCAGCCCCCAAAGCCCAAACCTTCCCCCAGAGAGCCCATTATAATCCTAGGAGCCTCCGGGTTCTAACAGTTTCCAAATTTCCCGGACCAAATAATACTGCCATTAACGCCTCGATACCTCGTACGCTATAATCACATGAGCTATAGTCTAATACTCCTGAAACGGGGTGATATAGGGGATTATAGGGGAGTATGATCGGGTTTATTAAGGGGATACTTGGAGCTTAGACCCTAAACCACAAACCTTAAATTCTAAAACTTAAACGCATTATACTAGGGGTTACTAAGGGGGGAATACTCGAAGTTAACAGTTAAGACTACCCAAACCCCCAAAGTAGGTAAAATAATGGCCCAAAACCTTTAAATATAGCCCAAAGGGCCATTATTCTACATACTTTGGGGGTCCAGGTATGGCTCACATGACTATGTACGTATGCAGGCATATACAGACGTGTCCTTCCGACATTTCGCTGGCACTTCGAGATCCTAAATAGTTTGAGGGTCTAGTGAGGGTCTAGGGTTTAGGGGTTTAGGGGTTAGGGTTTAGGGTTAAGGGTTTAGGGTTTAGTGGCATAGACCCTATATACTCTAGGTTAGGGTTTAGGGTCAGTCTAGGGATTACAGTATTATGGAACTCCTTACGTGGTGCAAGATTTTCCCCATCCACGAAATCATGATTGGATGTTCATGGGACTTAGTAGCTGCATATAGGTATTAAGGATCAGGGTAAGCAACATAAGTCCAGTAAGGGTTGTTGTACCTAAGGTTATGAGCGCAGTTATAAGTAGTTACTACGTCCCGTGAACCCCAAACCCTAATCGCTAGACCCTAAACTACCCAAATCCCTAACCCCTAAACTCTAACCCCCAAGCGTGTATCCCTAAACCTTAAACCAGTTTAAGCAGTTGCTACAGTCCATGAGCCTCCAAGTAGCCATAAGAATCCATTTCGCCATCCTTTCCTCGAAGGGTCAGGTGCGCTTAGAAAGTTTTTTTGGTGGTTTCGCAAAATTATGGGTACCTTTTTGGGGTCCCTATAATAAGGATCCTAATATATTGGGCTCTATATTGGGGTCCCTTGATTTTGGGAAACTATCATTTATAACCCCCATAAACCACAAGTGGAAGGGTTTAGGGTTTAGGATTCTGGGCTTAGGGTTTAGGATTTAGAGTTCAGGGTGTAGGAGTAACCCCTATAGCCCATACAATATCCGCAATTATCCCCCTTATTAACCTACTTGCTCAGTCCCCTCTGACTCTCCAAGTATCGCCCTAAGGGTCCAAGGATCCAAGTAATAGGGCTTCGGGTCCCCTAAACTCCTAAACCCTAAACCCTAAACCCAAACCCTAGTATTTAGGTTCTAAAGCCGCCCTATAAGTCCTTGGACACTTGCTTCTTGCATTTGTGGTGGAGTCTTGACTCTGACATTTCTAGTGTTTTGGGGGGTGTAGGGTTAGGGGGTTAGGGTCAGGGATTTTGGGGTTTAGGGTTTAGTCTTTTAGGGGTTTCGGGTTCTGTAGGGCTCAGGATGGCAAAGTCACAAACAGGTTCCCCATGTGAAGAGTCCGAAGCACTTAGAGTTTAGGATCCCTCCAAAACTGTACTTCCTAGGCTAAACCCTACCTAAACCCCACAAGTAGGTAAGATAATAGCCCAAAACCCTTAAAAGCAGCCCAATAGGCAATTGTTCTACATACTTTTGGGGTGTAGGTAAACTTTAAATAGACCCTACAGTGCGTAGGGTGGTGCCAGATTCCCTCCATCCACAAGAACAACAGCTGCGCACACAGCTGGTAACTGGTAACGCACCCGTCTCCAAATGAAGGGGCGCCATTCAGGGTGAGCGCGTTACATTGTATTTAAAGTGTAAAGTAATCTTGATGCGAAAACGCAGGTTTCAATGCCCTCTTTGCGAACATGTCAGTGAGCATGACTTGCGACAGTGGATCGCTCGTAACGCAGTTCTTCCCGGATTCGACGATGCTTGGAATTCATCATGGGTGTCCGAAGCATTTTGCATGGCGGGTACGGCTGTTATGGGGCCCAAAGGGTCCATGTAACTATATGGTATATACTTAGACCTTAAAGTAGGTATATGGGAACCCCTTTGGGACCTAAGTATATACCATATACCTACATGGACCCTTTGGGGGGTTTACCATTTTGCTCAGATTTTCCCAACTTGCAGCAGCTTAGCACCAGCAGCAGTACCGGCACCCCAGCCAAAGCCCCAGCTGCCGCCGCCGCTGCTGCAGAGTATTAGGAGGGAATGAAGGAACCCTAAACCCTAAACCCTAAACCAAGGACTTGCGAAGGCCAAGGATCTACCTGGGCAGACTTGGGCAATGCGAAGCTTAGCTCAACAGCTTTGGGCTTAGGATTAACAGGGTTCAGGGTTTAGGGTTTAGGGTCTAGGGTTTAGGGTTTTGACTACAATCATGGTACATAATTACAGTTTGCTGGTTAAAGTTGATACTGGGCAGCTTTCACAACTGGATCGCGGGATAGCATTTTCGGATGATGAGGGTAGTAGTTCTACTCATGTTTCGAAGTTGGGGATGAAGGGCTTGGGGGTTAAGACATGACCAGTCTGTAGTCTTTACCCTAAAAACCCTAAGCCCTAAACCTTAAACCCTAAGCCCTAAACCCTAAGTCCTGAACCCTAAACTACACCCTAAGCCCCAAACCCTAGTGTAGGGATTTAGGGACTATAGGGTTTGGTCAAAGAGATGTGGGCCCTCTTGGCGTCTTAATGGGGCCCGCATCCGAGCTGTATTCTAGTCTCCTTTAAGGGGGGTTATATAGGGGATTATGGTTTAAGCTCCGTTAAAGGGGTGTACACAGTGGATGATTCATGGTTTAGGATTTTGGGTTTAAGGTTTAGGGCCTAAACTCCTTAAGAGGGTATATATAGGAGATCACATGAGGGTGATCTAGGGGGACGCTAGGACTTTAGACTATCGCTCATCTGGATCGTTCTCATTTCTGGTGGCATATGGCCCCTTCGTGCACCGAGTACAATCATCTCTTTGAAGTGCGGTTTCTGAAAGCTTGCTGGGGGCGTCTGGAGTTGTATTTGAGCTTCGCAAGGCCGATAGCAGAGGATTCGGAATCGTGAGTTGATATGGAGGGTTGACGTCAAACTTAGGTTGTATCCACAGTTTCTTAACGCTTTTCTAGTACTGTCTGTGTCCTAATGAGAATTGGTAATGATTTGGGAGTTTTCCAAAAAGATCGCGGGCAGCTTGTGAGTTACAGCCCTCAACCCAAAATCCTAAACCCTACATGACTCTAAACCCTAAACCCTGAACATCCCTATCCCTAAACCCTTGCTAACCTTTCTTGTAATCCCCACCTCTCACAGGGACCCTGAAAGTACCTCTCTGTGAGACTACCGCGCTTCTTGGCGGTGTAGGCAACTTACTTAGCCAATACAACAACTCCAACTTTTCTGGGTTGCTGTTAAGGAACTTAAATTCAGGCATTATCCCCCTAATAATGGAGAATCAAATGGAAAAGAAAATGGAAAATGAAAGGGATTTAAGGAACTTAAATTAAGTTACTATATTGGGGAAACCCTATTATTTACTATATATACCCATTATGGTAGCTTAATTTAAGTTCCGCAACAGCAACCCAGCTGCTTTGGGCTTCCTTGTTGGGTCTCTATAATACAGCTTAAACTTGTTTAGCCCTGGTTATTGGGGAAGAGAGGCAAGCTGTGCACTTGTTCGTCCTCTAGGGTTTAGTTTAGGAGGGTTATAGGGATTAGGTTAGGTTTTACTGTCCCTTACTCAAAACCCCATGCCCTACACCCGCTGCAGAGTTGTTCCGCGCGGTCTTTTGAAACCTGTTTTGCTCACAGATTCTGTGCTGACTTGGCCTCAAGGAAACCCAACCTTTAAGTCTTAAATGGGTTTAGGGTTTAAGGATTTAGGGTTCAGGGTTGAGGGTTTAGGGTCCTTAAGCCCTAAATCCTAAAGGTTATGTGTAACCTTAACGGGTTACACTGAACGAATAGCGGGGTAGTAACTGCATTCGAGCTGTAGGTAAACGGGATTCCAGTGCGTTCAGTTTATCTGCCCCTTGGTACTTAGCTAGGCCATTAGACCCTCATGTTTTTGGGTCTCCCCTGTATTCCTATTACAAGTACCCAGACCCTAAACTCTAAACCGTGCATGTGCCATGATCTTTGTTCAAGACCTCTTGAGGACGCAAACGCGTTTGATGGCAAGCTATGACTCAATGCGATCGGCTCCTGGAATCGTTCCTGGGAGTTGATGGAGGTAACCCCTAAGCCCTAAATCCCGAAACCCTAAATCCCTAAACCCTAAACTCTAAACCCTAATGTGACCATAGCATTAATAAAGGGGGTGACAATAGCATTGAGTTGCTGGGCCAGAAAAATCCCGTACAAGCAAATTTG